AAACTACCAAAACTTTGACAGAAAATCGTACGTTTAGGTGGTGATTACTACCCACACTAAAGATACGGCTTTCATGTTTTATTTTCTAACTTTATTAAGAACGTCTTTTGGCGTAAAACGTTCGTTACAACCAAATAATAAAGGTGTATATTGCCACGCATATCAGTATTATAAAGAGTAATGCTGTATCAGATTATTATAAAAGAACACGTGGAAGTGTAATATTAAAGTTTGCTTTTAGACAGAAGGTTAATGCATTCTTAATAAATGTAAATTTAATGATAAGTTCACAACCAAGTATTGTGTAGACACCTGTTACAATTATGTGTGCTATAGCTGATAATCTAGTACATGGTTTACTACTAAGCATTAGTGCTTATAATGAACTGATTTCAAATAAATATATAATTTTGAACAAAAAGACGATGAGACACTAGTTAAACTTTAGGGAGAAGCGAAAAATGGTTCTAATGGATATTTTATTGAAAATGATTCTTTGTATCATAAAGATAAAATTTTATGTGCACCTGTCAGTCAATTAGTTGTTCCGCCTCAACATAGAACTCAGCTATTAATGATCGCATATTCTAGTATGTGGAATGGGCATTTGACGCATAAAGAAAAGTTTATAAAGATTAAGATATTCATTCTATTGGCCAAGTATAAAAACAGATGTGCAGAATATTTGTGATACTTATGTGAATAATTGTCATACATTATGTTTCATGTCAATTACAATGATAAGCCTTTTCAAATTACTAATGTTGATCTCATAGTTCCAATAGACCATGAACCCTTTCTTTTCTCTGATATTTTATTTGGGAAATTTGCCAATATGGTTGATAAAATTCTGTAGCAAATCGCTAATTTGGCTGTTCAACAAGAGAAGACAGTAAAACACTCAGACTGCCATCCCTGCATTTTTCACTCAATTAAATGAAAATTGGAATCTAAGTTGAAAGCTCCAGTTTGGATTTTATAGCAAGTTGGAAAATTCTTATGTATTTTTTGTTGTGTATAATTATTGCGTATTATTTTACTGTTAATGAATTTGTATTGTGCTTATTTAAAATTAATGTATAATATTTAATATTGTTAAACTTTACGGCATAGCTCTTTTAAGTTTGGCAGAATATGTGTTACAGTTAAAAGGGCGCGGGTGTTTCCGTTTCTCACGAGTCGGATTTTTTTGGAGGTTAGGGTCAGACTGCCCAACTGAATTTTCCTCTTTTCGCGGAGGTTGAAAACCCGTGTTTTGCTAGTTCAGAGGCGAATAGTTCTAAGAGGCGGCGATTTTTTTGACAGAGTTATTGGTTGGAAACATTCCTCTTTGCGTGGGAAAGAAAGGGTCTGTCATCTTGTAGAAAGTTCTGAATTTCTGAGAATACCTTTTTTTATTGTCTAGAGGGAGTCTAAGTTTCTTTAAGATTGGTTAAATTTTTAATTTTAGTGTCGTTTGAGCCAATAGTGGTTTTGAAGCGTGTCTTGGTAAGTGTCAACCGAGTTTTCTTAAGCCGTTGCAAGGGAGGCAGGAGAGATTTTTGGACCGAAAAAGAGATTTTGTTTAGCAGATTTTTCAGAGCCTCAGCGGGTTTGATTCCTTGACGTCAGTGAGGTGCTGATGCGGCGGCTCTTCGTGCTGTCGACCGCGGTTTACAGTTAACGCTGTTTATCTCCGAGATTCTTGTGACGGAGACCGGTTCGAGATAGTGCGGGTGCTCATCGTGTTGGACGGCGGCGATTCCTGTCCTGCAGCTTATTATTTTCGATTTCGTCGCTGATATTTTTATTGTTCAGTTGAATTTGAACTGATCGTGCTGGAGTTCCTGTTTTGCTTTGGTAAATATGGAAAAAGAGGGAAGTCATCATCTCCTGCTGTCCATCTCCTTTCGTTATCTTCAGAGGGTCTTCGAAATTAAAGGGAAGACTGATTATTATTATTTTTTTTTGGAGTTAAATGCTGCTGGACCGAGTAGTGCGGGTGCTATGAGAAAATTCTCGTTATGCTATGAACACACATCAGTATCGGTTTTCCGGACATCAAGGATGCTTGTCTGTTATGCTTTCGACGTTTCGTGACTGGATCCGGGCAGCTCCCTGAGTCTCTCAGATGTATGTACGCGAATTTCGTGAGTGACCTCATGTTTTCATTGGTGCTTTTCTTTTGATAATTAATCTTTATAAATTTCGAAATGTCTCATACTAAAGCTATAGCTGTCATGTTTAAGTAGATGATAATTGAATATTTACTGTTACTAAGTTTCTAGCTGAGAAATTTTTTTTTTAATGTTTAATGGTCCTGTCTATTTAATTTCGATATGTCTTAAATATTTCTGAAAAGAAATTTTCACTGAAGTATTTGTGATTGTGATTTCAGTATTATATCAAGGAATTTTTTTTTTAATATTTAAGTGCTAGGTTCAATATGATTTATTCTAAATTAGCTTTTATAAATGAGTACAAACTTCCTGAGTTCCTGTTTAAAATGATTAAGAACTGTGACGTGTTTCAATATGATTTAGTATAACTATGAGAGTGAAACAATATAAATTTTAAGATTATGTTTTGTAGGGGTAGTCTGGCCAGCTATTTTAAATATTAATGTGTGGAAATATTCAATAAATGTGTTTATTATTTTTATTATTGTATGTTTCTTTTGTGTATTAATTGTGGTCCTCTGTAGGTCACCCATGTGGTTCTTACGGAACATGGTTATTTTATTCGAACCTGGGTAAGCTTATTGCAGTAGTAAAAAAATCAGGTTTAAGAGTTGGGGACTATACGATCGGCTATATAATTTATTATGATTTGTTGAGTAGTCTTAAGTGTGAGATTTATCCTTCTCTGGTGTTTTGAAGAGTTCTGGGTTGTATTTTAAATGTTAACTGTTTTATGGCTATTTCTAGATTTATATTGAAATTTATGTGTTTTCAGGTTAGAGACCTGAATTAGTTATATTTTAGTGACAGATAGCAGATTAATGATTTTGTTGTGGAAATGCCCTTTTCGAATTTAGGTTTTAACAAATAATCGTGATTCTACCAAAGCACCAGGGAGGATATCTTCTTTTGATTTCGCTTAGATTTATAAGATTTTGAGTATGCAAATACTTAGTTTTTTTTTTTTTTTTTTTTTTTTTTTTTTTTTTTTTTGTGTGTGTGTGTGTGTGTGTCACGGCACCAAGAAGAAGTCAGTTTAGTTTTTTAAAAGTTCAATTTCTATTGTTTTCTCTACGTAACATTACTTGGATTTTTAACTGCTCTAGGGTTTTATAACAGATAGTGTATTTTTATTCTAATAGAACAATATAAAATACTTAATTACAAAAAATATTTAAAATTCTTAATTACAAAAAATATTTAAAATTACTTACTTAAAATTAAATACAAATAATAGTGTAAATTACTAAAATACAAAAACTAGTTAAAATAAAAATTCTCAAACAAAATAATTCTGGAATACGCGTAATTTTACTGCAGGTTTGTGAAATCTCAGAAAATTCTCCGAAATTTTATAAACGCCATTATAAATTTACTATTCTGCCTATTACCAATAATGGATGCATTCAACTTCTCTTCCATCATTATCGATAACAATAGCCATGGAATGCGATGACAATAATAACAATTAACAGCAGTCGTTCGTTATTTTTCGACTGCTTTCGTCAGGTTTGCATACTTAAAGAGGAATATTATCGTATAAAGTTATTTAGGAAATATCTGACAAAAGCTATTGAAGGCAGAATCTAATTAGAGATAATTAAAGCAATTTTCTGAATATAAAAACGTGCCAATCAACACATGTTTAGGGAAAAGGAAATTCGTCCGAAAGAAAAAAGGAAGTAGATCACCGACTCCCGATTGCTCCATAATCCTCGTGACCCTGAAAACATTTCTAAAAATCTTTCTCACGGAAATAATATGCATTGGTTATTTTTAACATCAAGAGAAAAGCGTGTTGCAGTTTAATCCTTCCTTTTCTCACCCAACCCCTGCTGTAAGCGCCCTACGGTGATAAATGACAACACTGTAACAGTAATTTCCCCGCACATGCATTTAATGGTTCTGTTTACTTAACTTGACCTTTAGCGAAGCGCTGCAGGAAAGCCACTTTCAATTGCTAAAATGTCAGTTTTCAAAACGATAGATTGGCGAATAAAATTTAATATGCGTGGGTGGAAACGTATGTTTTTGATATTTTGATTGATTAATCTTTTAAAAGTTGACTATTAATGTCGTAAAAATGAAATCAAGACGCCGATTGATCACATCAATTAATTTAATATAAAGTTTCCAGGAGGCATAGTGCCCTGTCTGATTAAAAAAATTCATTTTTTGTATTATAAGCAATACATTTAAACGTATATCATCCTCTGTTTAACTGACGTAAAGTCATGGCGCATTATTCTTTGCTTTTCGATTCGTAAGCTCTCTTAGTGAGGTTATTAAAAAGCAGTGATCCTTACTATTGGATTCTTTTCTTAAATGTACTTAAGTTTTTTGTAGGTCCAAAAGAATAATTTAAATTAGATATAGATAGTATTTTATTTGTGGTTTGTGGCTTTGGGTAAGTTTAGATCTCCTTTTCGTTACCGACTTCTTCAATACTTATTTTCATTGTTATATTTTGTCTTTTTTCTTTTACATAGAAAAGCGAAATTCCGTCATCTGGTCTACAGCATCTGGTCATCTGGTCTACATCTGGTCGTAGGGGATGCTACGTTTTCACTATTTCAAAGGACGTTTGTACCTGATTATAGCCTACTCTCAAGTAAATCATTTAATCATGAAATTTTCGCAGATTGAGGCTATTACTTTCAAAGCTGGCGAAAAATATTTAATGCTTTTGATTTAATTTGTGCGCTTTTATTTATGTTTAAAAATATTTATCAATAAACCTTATGCATGTAACAGAGAAGATTCTCAATACCGAATAATCCTTTTTCTCAGAAATAACTGATATTTTTAATTGAGGAAGCGCAGAAAAAAAAATGAACTTACTTCGTACGAAGAATCGTTGGGATCTTCACAAGATAGTTCTGTTTCTTCGCCATCAACCAGTAAAGATACAGTTCTCTCTTGACTGCCATCTGCAAACCATAAATATGTCAATAAAATAAGTAATAAATAAAGAGATAACACATAAAAAAGCAAGTAAAATTTAAATAGAACTAAATAGAAATAAAATAAGAAATAGAACGAAGCTCAAGGCTTTGCTAATCACCATACCGCCTAGAGTTGCAATGGACATACTTCACTGAAAGTTCGAGATATTGCAAAACAGTAGTTTGAAATTATCCTCATTGATACTATTATGAATATAATTTAAGATATTAGTGAGAAATGTACTCTTTGATGTAAAGACGATTACATGGTTGGTAGACCAATATACATTGCATTTTTAAAAATTGCAGCAATTTTTTTCTCTATTTATATTTCACTGAATTTTATAATGAACATCAATAAGCTAGTCACTATGGTCGTAGCGTTTTAGCTCATAGCAGATACAAATTTTCGTAAGTATGAGAAATCGAATGTAATATTTTTACATTCCTATTTATAACTGTGGGATGCATATGGTATATAAATCTAAAATAATGATAATTGAAATAACTAAAACAGGGATTCTCAAAGGGAGGGGGGAGATCCTTCATGGGGGAATACGGTCAGCCTTTTACTTAGCTGTTAAATGTTTAGCTTTAGTTTCTGAATATAAAAAACTGCTTTTATTCAAGCTTTGGTATTTATTAATATTTTCTATACATTTTTATTGGTTACTTTATAAAAATATGTTAAAAAATAATCTAAATCGAAATAAATGTGAATGCATTTTTCGATTTGGGGGAGGAATGATCCTCTAGCATAGGCGAAAGAGACGCATAGAGCAAAAAAGGTTGAGAACCTCTGAACTAAGCATTTTACATCCCTAATCATATCATTCGATTTATCCTCAATAAAAAACGTTCTCTCATTACTAAACATTGTTGCAAGTTTCGATAATCTGAAATTTCTTCATTTATGGGCAAGCAGAAGGTATTGCAGACATTCACTAAGCACTATTGCAGACATTCACAATTTGGTACAGTTTGTAAGCAATGTACATAAATGTGAACAGATTTATTTGATTACAACAAAACACATTAGGACCGTCTAAGAATACCTTCCTTGAGAATTTTTAAGGGAAAATTGTCTCGTATACAATTCACATACAGGGAAAACCGAAAATCAATCATACAGCCAGTCTGTTCGCCGGGTTTCGGTCCCAGGTGGAACTATTCACGAACAGTGGTCTCAGCCACTCTACTACTGGTTTGATAACTATACAAATATATCTTTATGAAGTCTTTCTGTTGAGATATTTGTAATCGCATTCTTACTGGTTAAAAGGAAGTATAGCTTTCTGTCAAGTCCGAAACATTCATTAGCTTTCAGCCAGGTCCGAGTTATTCTGAAACTAAATCCCATTTTGCATGTTACTTTTGATTGGTTATTTATTGTGTCTTGTTTATGATTTGTTAAACCATGATCTGTTATGAAGTTATATATATGACCTCTGTAACCGCTTATCGCTGTCGCGGTGGTGAGTTTTTCCTCGCTCTTGTTTGCTGTTACTCTGCTAAGTGCTCGCATATTTCTGCACTTGTTGGCACATACAGAAGGTTTGTTCCCGTTGAACCTTGTGTTCTGGGGACTGTAAAAGGTCCTTGCGTGCCCTATTTCTTGCCTAGCTCTAATTTTCTTGACTTGGACTTGATCTGGAAAATGTCAATTATTCAGCAAATTGTGGATCGCTTTCATGCACTGACTTCCAGGAATGATAGCCTGACCCCCTATGAGCAAGTTGAATTGGCATTCCTGAACAGATTTATGGATATAATACAAAACACGGAAAGAGATTTGGCCTCTCAATCTGAGTCTAACCATTCTAACGATGTGGATTCAAGCATGGAATGGATTACCCCCAGCCACAGTGTTAAACGGCCGCTCAGCCCTGAAAAGTCAGCCGAATTGGATTTGAAAAACAAATACCATGTGCTAACTCAGCTTCCTCCCGAAAAAGCTCATACCCATGGTACTGAACGGAGTACTCACTCAACTACCCAAGGCGATGTTGCAGTAAAACGCAGGATGAAACCGAGGGCTGCAAAAGCTGATGATTCATCCAAAAAGCCGAATGAAATCTCCTCCACAAACCCATCTAAAGTAGCGACCAGTAGCCACGCTAAAGTGGCGCCATCTAGTGAATCCTCCGAGAAGCCGGCTGCAAGTACGTCCCTGACGGAAAGCATGGTGCGGCCTATCGGAAATACAGATGAGGTCACGTGCCCGGCTGGGCAAATAAGTGATGCTCATGTATCTGAAGAATTTAAGTTTCCGAAAAGAAGTTCGAAGCTTCCGCCGATTGTCATTAAGGATTCAAACTGGAAATGGAAGGATATTACTGATCTATTGGATAACTCCGGCTACAGTGAATTTAATGCAAAGATGAAAGCCGTAGATGAATTTGAAATCAAAGTCAATTCCAGTGAGACTTATCGTAACATCACGGACCTCCTTGACGACAAAAAGATTAAATTTCATTCATATCAGCTTGCTGAAGACAAAAACATCAAAGTCGTCATTCGTAGCCTTCCGATTGACACCCCAGTTACGGATATCCAAGATGCTCTCATTGCAGAAGGATACGCTGTTAAAAAGGTTGTACAAATGTCTCGCCGAAAAGGTCCTGAAATTGCCCCCATGCCTCTATTCCTGATCTTGCTAGAAAGGAATGAGAAAACCAAGGACATTTTTAATAATCTAAAGTATCTTATGAGGCTAAAGATAACAGTTGAAAGATACAGAGGTAGACGCGGTATCACGCAGTGCTTCCGATGCCAAGACTTTTACCACGCTCAAAGTCAATGCCGTCACGCACCACGGTGTGTCAAATGTGGTCAGGGGCATGAGTCTCGTGACTGCACCAAGCCCAAGGATGTGCCACCAAAGTGCTGTCATTGCGGACTTCCTCATACTGCCAGTTTTAAAGGTTGTTCGTTCTACCCCAAGCCTCGCTCATCCTTTGTGCAAAAAGGCATATCATATGCAGATAGAGTAGTCAACAATAGTAATGCTACTCCCCCACAGATGGCGCCACAAGCAACCTTCCCACAACTCAGTGAGCTTCAAGCAAAGCTCGACGAAGCTAATGCGGTAATTCAAAAGCTCACAACAGCCATCTCTATGTTTGCTGATGTAGCGAAGGCACTTCCTACCGCCTCTATGATAGAGGACACAGTCAGGCCAGCTTCCCCCAACCATGGATAATCCCACCTCCCGGCAAAGTTCTCCTGTTAAGATCCTGCTCTGGAACGCGCAGAACGTTACCTCCAAGATACCGGAACTTCATGAATTTATCCAGCAAAATGACGTAGACATCTGCTTAATTACAGAAACCCATGCTAACCCTTCGCACTCCTTAAGGATAGCCAATTATTTCAGCTACCGTAGTGACAGACTCCACCACCGTGGTGGCGGAGTGCTCATTTATGTTAAAAGGACATTTGATTCATATCTGAAAAGTGCAGAAAATTGTGATGGAATGGAAAGTGTTAAAGTGATGGTGAATCTACCCAACATTGGGGATGTCACTTTCTGTGCGGTGTATAACCGCCCTGGGAACAAGCTCAGTGCTGAAATTCTGGATAGACTTATTAACTCAGACTCCCCCACCTTTCTAGGTGGCGATTTAAACGCCAAGCATCTCGACTGGGGATGCCGCAACTCGAATTATAATGGACACATAGTGCATGATTTTGTGTGTAATTACCCTGTCTTTCTGCATGTGCCGGATGAGCCTACCTATAGGCCAAATATACTCAACCATCGGCCTGACATTCTGGATATTTTTATTACGACGTTCAATATTCCTATGGCTATTACGGTAACATGTGACATGTCTTCTGATCATGTACCTGTGCTTGCTTACCTTGGAGTGGAAAATGCTAAGAACCTACCGCCAATTAAGCATACTGATTGGAATCTTTATCATAATACTTTGATGACCACTGATTTTAATTGTGACTCGTTACAAAGCACTTCGGATATTGAACGTGCTATAACAGACTTTACTTCGTACCTGCATTCTGCTAAGTCCCTAGCTACGACTGAGGTTGACCGTGTCAGACATGAGCACACGCTTCCTGCCAATATTCGCGAAATAATCTGCTTTCGAAATCATCTCCGAAAGGAATTTAATCTCACCTGGGATCCTGCTATCAAAACTCAAATTAACAGGCTTAATAGGAAAATCAAGCAAAAGATTCAGGACCATCGTTCTAGCTTATGGCAGGATAAGATGGAAAAGATCAACGACGAACCTGGCGCCATCTGGCGTCATACAAGGACACTAAAACGCCCCTGCTCTGCCAGAAAACCGCTTAAATGCGATAACGGATTTGCTTACTCCGATCAAGACAAAGCGGAACTTTTTGCGGAACACCTTTCTAAACAGTTCATTCCAAATTCCTTCCCCTCAGATCATAGTTCGGACATTCAAGTTCATTACCTTAACGATCAATGGCTGCACTCCCCTTCTACGGAACCTTCTATCAAACTAACCACGCCGCACGAAGTGCAGAACATTATTAAGGGACTTAAATTAAAGAAAGCTCCAGGAAAGGACAAGATCACGAACCAGATGCTGAAAAACATGCCTTTTAAGACCGTATGCAAATTAACAGGCATTCTCAATG